CCCCCCCCCCTTACTAAGTAGAAGGCTATTAGAGTGATATGAGAGATCCGATAGACTGTGATATGTTGTTGAAGCAGTTTTACGTGTGTTGTTTACCTCTCTGCCAACGTTTTGAATTTGTTAAGTTGATAAAAGAGATTTACATCACAACTGTGTTTGCATTCTCTATGATGCGCCTGTTTTTGCACTATACGTAATTCTTGGAATTTCAAAATGCACCAACTATGCTATGCACCAAACGGCAACCCTTCGATGTACAATCTCCTGCCAGGCATTCCGGCGCACATCCGGTTCCTGACCGAGTTGAACCTATTGCAGGAGTCCTGCCCTCGCTTCATTTGCATCACATCGAGAGTTCTGATGTCCCCGGTAACTTCATCGTGTATTTCCAGGCTGTGTGTGCAACTTTGGGCAGTTTTGTGGGAAATGCTGTGTGTGTGTTTCAGGATGATGACCTCGTTAGGCTGGATAGCGCGGGCGGTTGGCACCGAAAGCAAGTTTTTGCTAGGAAGAAAATTCTCTGGCGTCCCGAGCAGGTTCCTGTCTTGCTGTTCCTACAAGTGTGAAATGCTCGCATCGGTTGACATTCATCGATTTCCTTCGACATCTTCGCATGCATCATCATTGTTGGCTTCAAATTCGTATGTTTTTTGTGGGACAGGCAGAGTGCTGCTGCACACAGCTGCACAGGTGAGTGGTATTTGTTTTATTGTATGCTTTTAACAAATTTTTTACTGGAAGCAAGAAGGGTGCGGGAGCCAAGGTCACCTGGCAGGCCAGCACCACCTGGGAAGGGTCAACAGTGCTGACTGAGATGGCGTGAAGGGGTTCTGTTATGAAAAGACGGCGGACCGAAGTACGGGGTATAGTTTTTGCAGAAGTGGAAAGAATGGTTACAAATTTGCACTACTGGATTCTGCACTGCCAGGATTATACCGCAGTGGGATTTTGCTGAGGGTGACTTTAGGCACTTTTTCGGAGGAGAGTACTGAAAACAACTTCCTCCACCTGCGATGCATTTGTTATCAGGAATTCACTGTCGCTGCAGATGAAGCTCCCGAACTACCCGCATTGGGTCCTCAGCTTTACTGAGGGCTAGCCAGTCGCCCAAAACTGCAATTGGTTCTCTTGTCCTGTCTCTGGATTGCTTTGGCAATCCGGGGACAGGACACTCCACAACAGCTACGTCTCGGTGCGTTACGTAACAACTTATTTTGCCGGAATAGCTTCGGGAGGTAAGCTTCGGAGAAGCTGGCGTTGACTTTCTCTTGTCGACGCCAGAAGTTGACGAAGAAGTAAAAAGGCTGCAGTTGGTTATGCTTTGGCTTTTTCGTGCGCACAAAGAAAAAGAGTGTCGGCTGGGAAGGGCGTGGCACGAATTTGAAGCGTGCATGATCTTTAATTTTGCTTGAAGCCCAGGCGTTTATCCGATGAGTGAGATGATTCGCCGAAAATTCGACAGTACATTTTGCTAACATCTTTATCGTGTTTTTATGCACAGGAGGAAATGTTTTTTGTGCCTGTTTAAGGCAAAGCTTGTTTCTGTTACTTTTCAGAGGTTCGATGTTCCTCCTCCGCCTCCTCCTTTGGAAGAGCACGACGAAAAGTTGAAAAAAGCTGAAGATGCAGTCAAAAAAGAACACAAGGTTTATTTTATAGTGTTTATAGCTTAGTTCCATATCTAATTATTATGAATTCAACTTTAACCAAGCAACCACCTGTTAACAGGATTATCGGTGGTTCCCTCTTTCGGGATTTGCTTACAAGCAACTTGATGACAAGTGTGATTTCCTGGCATACCGCGCTCCTAGTTTACCGTCAAAATGAGTAAACGAAACGCTCTAGCTGTTGCACGAGAGAAGCGCGATTTGCCAACACTTCAAATGAATAAAATTAACACTAGGGACACTAAAGGCGAATATTAAGTAAAAGTTGCAGAGGATGAAATTAACAAAAATTTGAAAGAAAAAACCAATTTATCTTAATCGTTTCCTTTTTTTTGGAGCAAATTTTATCAAAAAAAAAGTATTTTGCAGGAAGCAAAACCAACAGGACTGTTTGCCAAACTGAAGTACTATCTTAAACGTTACTGGTATATTGCAATCCCTATCCACATTGTGAATTGTGCTGTTTGGTTTATTGTTTTTTACATCGTCTGTCGCAGGTACTTTTTCGTTTTCTGCTTTTTTCAGCCTAACCAACGAGTTGCGCTCGACTGCTCAGCAAATGGAGTAGGAAAACTCACCATTTTTAAGCACATTTTATCACAAACCAGCTACTTTTTACATATATTGCCTACAGCAAGTAACATTTAATGTATCCAAGCACGAAACATGAGCCGCAGATGCCAGTTCTACGCACAGAAGTGCACATAGTTTTACTCTTGCGTGAATGCTTTCAGTATCTACTGAGAGTAAGAGGAAGGCGTCGGCCTGCACCTCCACATAAAGAGACTTGAATGCAAATAGTGAAACAGTGCTATTTGTTTTCAGTGGTCTTGATGTTGTTGCACTGCTCGAGAAGTGTCACTTACCGGACTCTCTTATCAATAAAGTTAAATCAACTCCTCCGAATGCAGGATATGCGGTTGTAGCCTTCCTTCTTTACAAGGTAAGTGCTTTTTTTTGCAATTCTTGGTACTGCTAACGAGCTCAGTATGGTTGTGAGACATATGTATCCAAATAAAAACCTGTAGGAATGGCAGATAGCCTAAGAAATGTTAGATTGTTGCTGGTCCTGGCATGCACGGAGTCGAGTGTTTTTCATTTTGTTTCTCAAGCAGCCTTTGAATTGGAGGAGAGCCATCGCCAGTTTTGCCAGCGAGTATTGGCTGGCGTCGGCAAAACTCAATCACTTGGGTCGTTTTCGAGCCTCCTTATCACCTTACTAGAGAACTACAGGATACTTTCTGTTACGTCGTTGTTCCTGGCGTTGAATTGTCTGGACCGGAAATGACGAGCTGGAAGGAATTTTATTTAACGAGGTGTAGAGATAAAGATTGTACGTGCGAGGCCGATCTTGACGCGACGATCCAACCGAGTTAGGGCAACCTGATCCAGAGCATTTCTTACAATTGTTCGGGCTGAAATGTGTTTAGTGTATTGTGCATCATGAAACTTCGTTTCACCTCATTTCTTTTTTTTTTTTTTTTCAGATAGCAACTCCGCTGCGCTACGCCACAACATTGCTGCTGATCCAGCTGAGCTTTCCGGTGCTACGGCGATTTGGAATACTGACAGCCAAGGAGGTGAAGTACCGGATGCGGTTAAAATATACCAATAAAATGAGGAAAATGAAACGGCGCTACCAGCAAAACCTTCACAGGGCCAGAGGAGGCGAACTGCACGAGGACAGTAAAAAGCGTCCAAACGCTGGTGGATCGTTGAAAAAACCTTAGTGAGCGTGATCCTGTCCAACGGATCGCAGCAGGCAACTGTTGCCGTGGTGCCTGCGCTCCAGCTTTTCGATAACCCAGCCGTACAGGTAGTTAGCGGTGCTGTTACGGGAAGAGAATCTGCAGACCAGAAATCAGCTAATTGTGATTTGTGTTGTGATGCAAGTATCGCAGTGAATTCGGCCGTTTTAATGGATTGAGGGAAAATCCATTCTACCTGTACTTGCTTCATGCTGCAATCTAGTAACTAGTCATGCTGTGCCCCTTGGGTCTCATTTCTTCTGATGGCCGGCAGGACGGGGACATCGAGCATGTTGCTCCGCACAACTTTCCCCTCAAGTAGTACACGTAAAAAAGGAATTACGGCGACGATCGTCTCAGGGTCATTTTCACCTGTTTTAGGTGGAATATATTTTGAAATTGATGCAAATAGCGTCTCAAGCTCCTAAAATAACAATTATCAGTATCATTGATGTACAACTGCCTTATTGAATAAAATCTATGCTGGAAGCTGCTGCTGCTCCACACACGAACACACACACACATATATACACAAACACACTTGACAACGTGCTATGTTTCTCAAACTTTCCCGGATATCTGCTTCTCTCACAAACAGTTAATTGAGAAACGAGTTCTGATCGTATTTGTATCCGATTGTAGACCAAGCAGGTCCTTCCACAGTCATCCAGAACATGAGCTAATTTCTACTCGATTCAGTCAAATGCGCTTCTGCTGACAGATGAAAACACATTCCAGTATCATATGAGTTCCGACCCCTTTACGGTGTCTTCGGGACGTTTCTAAGCTTCGTTTTAGGTTTTCAACGAACTCAATATTTCCATCTCGTTTCCAAATCTCTCTGGTCTTATTTTGCCTCAGTTGAGTGTGGGACAGTTCCACAACCCCCTCTCTCCCTATCCCTTAAGCACAAGAACTACCGCATATTTTCCTGGAGTGCACATTCATTTACATTTATTTGATGTGATTTATTTTATTTGATGCGTAAAAAGCAACAAATGTAGTGAACAGTCTCGTTTTTAACAGCACCAAACAATCAGAACGGTTAATCAATTTGGTTCATAGCACGTCGTCTTGTGCAGATTCGGAAGTGAGATACAATGGAAAGCTGCATAATGAAGGTACAAATTGAAAGAGCACTTCAAGTGTGAGATTGAAAATTGAGATAACAGCAGGCCAGCTGCTCGAGATCATCTTAGAAGTCGAAATTACACTGCAATTCGGAAACATTAATAAGTCACAATTTCGCGCACTTCTTGGTCCACAGCTAGTTCATGCGGAAGAGCCTGGCGCCTTGGGAAAAATGTGTGGTCATCACTGTAATTCAACATGTTTGGCAATCGGCTGGTATAGATATCGGCGAGGCGGTTGAGTCTTCGACAAAAAAATGACATATTATGATAAGTGCGAAATATTGAGCCAAACTGAGGGTTGAAAATCGTTTTCACTCGCTCTCTGAAAGAACAAAAAAAACCATTTAAT